CAAGAAATCGGGAGCCTCCCGATCAAATCGGGAAGGTTGGAACCTTTGGTGCTTTTGTGATCAATTTTAAGAGTATAATTTTCTGGCATTAATTTGGAATACACATTGGGAATACAGAATGGCGGAGAGTCATGAATATACTAAATCAGGGCGCTGTAAAACACGGGCGGGATGCAGCCCCCCGCATATTTCGATGTGAAAAACACAATTCGAGCTGAATTCACAATGGATTTTGGGTTTTGTGCTATTAGAAGACAAAAGCTTTTTTCAGGATATTACTTTTTAAATATTAAGGATTTTTAATTACTTTTATTCCTTCGTATTAAATATTAAGGATTTTTAAAAACTTTTAATATAGCTAACTGTAAATAGATTTGAATTAAATTGATAATGTCGTGTAAATATTCTTGCATATTGTATTTTAAGTTCTTTGTATGTTTGCATGGCGATAAAACATGTAATAGTTTTGTTTGTGGAAACACCACGTAAATTTATTACTGCAAAGGAGTTTGGCAAAGCTTTGTATTTTAGCCTACTATTTTATGTAATTTGCACGCAATTCAGCTCTGTAGCTTTTAATTTTTAATAAATTATTCTATTCTTAAACTATTCTATTAATTTCGTTTCGTACCTTCTGCAAGGATTTTGGTGCCCACCTAGATGATGGGCTGATGGAAAGATCCTTAAAAATAATAAAAACATAACGAGTTTAGCAATGGAGTCTTGCTAAAGGAAAGATTGGAGGAACTCTAATTGAGAAAGTGTCACACGGTTCCAAGGATAATCTCAAGTGAAAAACATGCAGTGAATAACATTTTAGCAAATATTCAACCCATGCAATGAAGGAAACAAAATTTTAAATTAATAAGTATAAAAACATAGCTTTATAACGACTTACCTGTCACAATGTGGACATTTGTGGAGTGGCTAAAAAAAATAAAGGTAAAATGGAATATTAATAGGTTATACTTTTCCTTCCGCAATTGGGTAACACAAAACTATTCTAACGAGTTTTCAATAAAGTATCTAGTCTTCTCTTACTGTAAGAAACTTTATGTTGACATGCATCAAAAACTTAGTCACGGACAATCCATGCAATTAAATGCAATTAAAGTAGCATTGTACCAGTCAAATCCAACCGCGATCATCCCTCCCGGACAACCCGCGGGGACTGTATTTGACTTTTGAAAAATAAGTACTTGAGTGAAATGCTCGCCCGAACAGGCAGAAATCACAGTCAAATGCCCTGCTATAGGGGTATTCTTGGTTCTGGAATTTTGGCTAAAATTATTTTTTTTTATTTATTTATTTATTTATTTTATTCGCCCAAATTATATTAATATATATATACAAATTAATCATAAAATAGAAACTATTTACATAGGCCTAGGAACCTTCTAGAAACCATAACTCATAAGGCTTTTATTTAATTTTACAACTTTAGATTAGATTAAAATATAGTTACGTTTTAATAATAAAGGATACAAGTTCAAAAGTTTTCAGAGAAACAATTTAGTTTTAATTTTACTTTAAGTGGAGAGTTCTATTATTATTTTTATCAGAAAGAAGAAAATATTTTTTGATTGTCGATTTGAATATTGGAAAAGATCTAATTTCTTTATATTGCGAAGGAAGATTATTCCACACATCGATTCCTTTACAAGTGTGTGTTTTTCATTATTTGTTCTATTATACATTTTTTGTGTAGCAATGATGCGTTTCTTGTATTGTAATTATGCGGCATATCTTTGTTACTCAAAAAATAATTATTAAAAATCTCGGGAAGATTAATTTTGCAAATGAAAATATCGGAACATAAACAAACTTGTCAAATATTCATTTAATTTGGCTACTCCTCGTACTCTGTAATGATTAAACAAGAATTGACAATATAGCAATTGTGATGTGTGACAATTCTACCAAAATTTTAAACTCTGCAAATTTTGTATTTAAAACAACACCAATGATATATTTGTATACTATATAATATATAAAACGGAAAACAGGCCAATCAGATCTTCTTTTTGATCAACCCGGCCTTTTTTACAAAGGAATGGTTTCTGTCTGAAAGGGGATAGGTGTGACATTTCTCACAAAGGTCTATCCTGCGCAAATTAGCCATTCCGAAGTTGATGAGAGGACTGGGGACGAGTGTTAAAAAGTGCCCAAATTAATAAATGAACCAAATAACTAAAACGACCACCTCAAAATCACTCTGCTGAGTGGTTATATTACTACCTTAAGAAATAAGCGGCAAAAAGTCGACGTTTCGAGCGAAGGCCCTTCGTCAAGAGTTAGTAAGTATACAAAGTTTGAAGACATTTACATGAATACCCTGAGAATAATAAGCTTTCGAAATTACTGATTAAAAGATTGTTTTTGGGACGCGCGTCCCACTGAAACCAAAAATTACAGTACATTTCATAGTAAATATCACGATTTTCGAAAGCTTATTGATTCGAAGAATATTCATGTAAACGTCTTCAAACTTTGTATACTTACTAATTTGGGCACTTTTTAACACTCGTCCCCAGTCCACTCATCAACTTCGGAATGGCTAATAGCATAGGACCTGTTTTCCCAGCTCTTTTTTACCCAAACACCGAAGACCTATAATCCCAATGCAAACACCTCACAAAGCGAGGTTACCTCTATACTGGCCGAGACCACTTATGGAAATTGCATTACAACCGCCCTTACCACACGTTGCGGACACATCTTCTTGACTAGAGGCAAGATTCTTACGTGTGTGTATATATAATCAAGTGTATACTCACTTGAGATGGTGGGGTATTAACCACCACTGGCGCCTCCCTGAAATATGTAGAAATACAAGTTAAGAAAAATGTGAATAACAAAGCAAGGATGATGTATTCACGTTTGTAACAATCTGAACACAAACAAAGTCCAACCTTGTACAAGGAACAAAATCGCCTGTAGCAACTTCCTAAACAAAAGAAGAAAGCTAGAGTCTTGTTTACGTATATACCCACATTTTCAACAAAGCATGGATATTGAAAGAGATTCAAACAAGATGTGACAGACATGGAAACCCAAGTTTAAAAGATATTCTCCTAAAACCATCAGCTTACAAGATTCTTACGTGTGTGTATATATAATCAAGTGTATACTCACTTGAGATGGTGGCTCAGTCAAATCATCCACTGGCGCCTCCCTGAAATATGTATAAATACAAGTTAAGAAAAATGTGAATAACAAAGCAAGGATGATGTATTCACGTTTGTACAATCTGAACACAAACAAAACCCAACCTTGTACAAGGAACAAAATCGCCTGTAGCAACTTCCTAAACAAAAGAAGAAAGCTAGAGTCTTGTTTACGTATATACCCACATTTTCAACAAAGCATGGATATTGAAAGAGATTCAAACAAGGTGTGACAGACATGGAAACCCAAGTTTAAAAGATATTCTCCTAAAACCATCAGCTTACAAGATTCTTACGTGTGTGTATATATAATCAAGTGTATACTCACTTGAGATGGTGGCTCAGTCAAATCATCCACTGACGCCTCCCTGAAATATGTAGAAATACAAGTTAAGAAAAATGTGAATAACACAGCAAGGATGATATATTTATGCTTGTAACAATCTGAACACAAACAAAGTCCAACCTTGTACAAGGAACAAAATCGCCTGTAGCAACTTCCTAAACAAAAGAAGAAAGCTAGAGTCTTGTTTACGTATATACCCACATTTTCAACAAAGCATGGATATTGAAAGAGATTCAAACAAGGTGTGACAGACATGGAAACCCAAGTTTAAAAGATATTCTCCTAAAACCATCAACTTACAACTTACTTCACGTAATCCACTGATGATATCATTCTGTTTTTCAATCGTCTCCTTCATACACTCTATAATTTCAGCTTGCTCCTACATTTGTTTAAAAAAGTTGACAGTATTAATTGCAGTCAAACTAACTTTATACTGGATAGCTCATTAAGTTCTAAAACGTTTTCAAGTTCTTACCCCCTTCTCTTTTTAACCGTTCCCCGTCCTTAAACCAACCCACCCGTTTTCAGTACCCCCCATTTATAACAAAAACATTTTCACACCACCCCCTCGGCTTCTCCCCCCTGGAACTACGATACATTTATCTTTACCTCCACTTTCATCTGTTCCCGATGATAAAGATTGCTAGAAATGTATTCATCGTCACTATCTTCAATGATCTCTATGATACGTTTTCGTCGCCGAGATTTTTGCATAGATTTTTGCAAAATTTCGACCCTTTTTCCTAAAACTTCCTCGTTAAAGTTCTGTACTGCCGCCAGACGATTGCTAAAAAGCAACATCATGTTTACAATGCAACCAGGGAATGACTGCGTGGCTGTGATTGCATGGCAAGTATGTACCATTCACTTCCGAGACAACAGGCCTGCAAATTAGTGTTGGTCATCGGACATTGCCCGGCCAAATTTTACCTTTTGTCCGATCAAAACTTTTTATGGTCGGACATGTGACCGGTCGATTTGGCTAGTCAAATCTCCAATCTCAAAAAATTGCTTATTTAACACATTTTTTGTTAAGGACAACAAGAAAGCAATATATAGACAGCACTTCTCCACTATTTTACACTTCTCTACCAAGTTTTAAATGCATTGCAGTTTGTGCTAATTTTCAAAACAAAATACGAAAAAGTGTCCATTGCATGTTGTCCGGGAAAAATTGATAAATGTCCGAGTGTCCGACCAAATTTTGGCTTGGCCAGACATTTGTCCTTCCAAGTAAAATAGTTATTTGCAGGTCGGCTTCCATTTCTACACTATGCAACTGTCTTGTTGCGAATATTTCCATTAATTACTGGTAACAACTCTATAAGGGGAACAGTTTCAAAACTGATAAAGCTACGGAGCTACCATTATACAGTATACGTATATAAACAATATTAGTTTGAATTTGTCTCGTTTACCTGTGCCCGGGACGAAGTCAAGTTGGAATGAAAAACGAAATTGTATGTTTAGTTTTAATTGTCACACGACAATCGGCAACTTTTTTGCAAAGTTGACCTCAACTTGCCAACCGTTTTAAAGCCCGTATAAGCTAATAAGGTCAATGAGGATTTTGTTCGGGACTTACAGCTTGTACAAGGAAGAGAAGCAAACAAACCTGTATATATTTTGTAATTCATATATCTGTTCATTCATTTCCTGCGTAACTTCTTCTCTAATTCTAAGTTCCAACGTAGCTGTATCCATCGCCTCCTCCGTCACTTTCGTTTGCAGTGTTTTAATGATCGACATTAACTTCTGAATTAGAAATGAATTAACTTCTGAATTAGAAATAAAAACAAGTTGCCAACCACAGATGATTTCCACAAAAAAGCTTCGGATTGATAAGAATACAACTACCTGAAAATAGAAGCGAAACGTCGACGTTCTCCTCGTATTTTTCAGGCAGTTCATCCCTATCAATCCGGAACTTTCTAATGAAGACAACTATAGAATAGACTGAATGATGATTTATTACAAATGTCAATCAACGTTTGTTACATGCTTAGAAGTTAATTATTAACTTATCTCATCCTACAAATACTACATTACTCTCCCTCTATTTTTTATAACTGAATATCAACCACTTAATAAAATGTCCTTGCCTTATTTTCGTACTTATGTAAATCAACGTTGTCTGATGTTTCTATAATTTAAACGTTTATATCGTTTTACTGTTTATAACATCAAGTCTGGTACTGATATCGTATTACCGGTCTTTTCATTCTTGTTGATCTCCTTACACTTGGTTCTTGCTTTGGTGGTTCCTCTGTTTCCGTCGATCTTCCCGGTGCTGTATCTTCCTGCTCCTCCTCGCTTTCCTCCATTACTACCTTCTTAAAGTGTGAAACGTTTCTTGTCACCGT